TATATATATGTATACATATATATAGTGTATATATATGTATATAAATATATATGCATATATCTTTGGATGTTGTGCATTATGCTTGTAATTCTGACTATGTGGGAGATGGTGGTAGGAGGACTATAGTCTGTGGCCAATCCCAGGCAAAAGCTTGAGATGGTGACTGAATCATATCTTTATTCTAAAAAGGCCAGAAGTATAGTTTATGTGATAGAACATTTTTCTAGCAAATTCACAACCTGCTACTACCAAACCAAACCAAACAGAAAGCATTATTTTTATCTGCTTAATTTAATAATAGCTACTGTACTGTATTATTTGGGTTTAAAAAATACTACTTTACAAATTCTTTTTTTTGGGGGGGTCTGGTTGTGGGGTCTGAACTCTGGGCCTGGGCACTGTCCCTCAGCTCTTCAGCTCAAGGCTAGTGTTCTACCACTTGAGCCACAGTGCCACTTTTTTCTTTTTGCTTATGTGGTGCTGAGGAATCGAACCCAGGCAAGCGCTCTACCACTGAGCCACCTTCCCAGCCCCTATTTTACAAATTCTTAAGGCAAATTGGTTTTTTTTTACTTGGCAGTTTTAGCTCATGTGTACAACACCACCAACCATCAGGTTTAAAATGCTGTAAGCTCTTCCATGCCCCACCAACCTCTCAGAGTTGCCTTTTATTTCTTTTCTTCCTTTCCCTCCTTTTACATTTTCTTGCAGTTTTTCTTTGACTTTTCCCAGGATTACTGTAGTGATAATTACATACATTTACTCTTCTATTGTTCACATTAGTTTTACAGAATTTTTGCTATTGTGGTAAGAGATCATTTTAAGAAATTATTTCTTTTACTTCTTATAGTCTCTTACAACTGAATTAATGTATTTTTTATCTCAAAGCTACTTGCAGGAATGTTGGCAGTATGAGATTTGTAAAGAATTCAAATCACTGTGGTATTTGGGAAGAATGTGTGTAATAAACAAACCTCTTAGGAATATTTGGCCTATCCGTGAAAAGCCCCTCAGTATGTGGCTTTAGGATGTCAATTCACATCTAGGATCCACACTGATCAATCAATAATTCTAATAATTATAATCATTCCTATTATTTCTTCCATGTATATTGTTAATATTTTCTCTGTAATTGGCATAATGCTGAATGTTTCTTTTTCTATCAGTTCTGGGATTTGAATTGAAGATCTTTTTATTTTTTTGCCTGTCCTGGGACTTGAACTCATGGCCTATGCACTGTCCCTGAGCTTTTTCTTTTTTGCTCAAGGCTAGCACTCTACCACTTGAGCCACAGCATCACTTGCAGCTTTTTCTGTTTATGTGGTACTGAGGAATTGAACTCAGGGCTTTATGCATGCTAGGCAAGCATTCTACCTCTAAGCCACATTCCCAGCCCTTGAATTGAAGATCTTATACTTGCTCAGCTGGTACTCTACCACTTTAGACATGCTCCCAGCCCTTTTGTCTTCATGTTTTTGTTTTTGTTTTCATTTTTTGTTTATATTCAGAAGGATCTTGCTTTTTTTTTTTTTTTGGAGACAGCTTTGGTCATGAGCCTCCCATTTGTGTTTTCCATGTTTCCTGGCATGACAGGCATGTATGACCAGGCCCAGCTATAGTTGTAGATGGGGTCCCACCCCACTTAGCCTAATTCTTTTGTATGTATCCAAAGATCCTATATGAAGGACTTGCCTTTCCCCTCTTGGCTCGATCATTTTATGTATCTAAAGATGGAATATGAAGGCTTGACCCCCACCCTATTGTCCCAGGCCCATACAGATGCCAGACATATCTCTGGTATGTGAAAACTTGTTTGATATGCTGGCAGGGCAATCCACCTAAGCCCAGCTGTAAATATTCCATTGTGGGCCCAACTGAAAAGCCCCCACCTCTCTTCACCTAGTGGTTTTTTCATTAAATTCTGTCTCCTTGTGCAGGATCTCATATAAAAACCCAGCTCCTGTCACAACTGTCTGGCACAACCTCCAAACCAACAGGAAGGTCTGTGCCCCTCGCTGTTCTCAATAAACAGTCTTCGCCTATTGATGATCACTTCTGACCTGTTCCTTTTCCATTCTCCTCCATTTTCCTAACATTGTCCTCCAACTGCAGTCCTCTCAACTTTATCCTCATGCATAGCTAAGATTAGAAATATGATCTGCTTTGCTCAGGTTCATATGTATCTTTACAATTTCATTTTTATAATTATCTTGTGAAGTACTTTCACTCCTTATCAGAACATTAGATTTCTCATGTCCTACTTCCTACACTTTCTGCATTCATAAAGCTTTCATAATATGATTAGCCTGTACTAACCCCCATTTTTGAGGTTTATTTTTATTTTTTTAAATATATGCTTTTTATTGTAAAGATACTATACGGAGGGGTTACAGTTATATGAGCAAGGTAATGAGTCCATTTCCTATCGAGCATTGTTACTCCATTCTTTGTTCTTCCCCTACCATCCCTTTCCTCTTCCCCTCCAAAGTTGTATAGTTTGTTTTCAACATAGTGTCTTGTACCTCTCATTGTTACATGGGTCATCCTGTATCCTTATTTCTTTTGTTATTTCCCTTCCCCTCCCCAAATTAGAAAAATATATATACAAGATGCAGGGCACCAGAATCAAATACATAGACAACAGGGCTAACCCCAAATTCTTGACAGACATATTAATGTGTTATGTTTCCTTTAATATGAAACACTTCCAGCAAGTACTTGGTGAAGGTAAGTTGCTTTATTCTAAATGAATATTTTCTATCTATGAGTATTTTGAACACTAGGACATAGATACTCTCCTTACTTAAGGAAGTGATTGTTTTTCTCCTGAAGTAATTGCTTAGGCATGTTCCTCACCTAGGTGAATTCTGGTTGTATTCTTCCCTCCAGTGACCTCTTCTTCATCACGACATTTACTTTCACTTTAAATAGCCAAGAAATTCTTCACAATTCTTATTGCAACTCTGAAAACAGGTTCCAATTTTAATAACCCCCACTGCAAGTTGATTTTAGTGTGTAATCCCTGATGCCATAAGTATCACATTTTTTAGCCAAGATAAAATAAGATATAAATCAGAAGCCCAGACTTCTGATACTTACTATATAAAACATGCGATAATTTCAGTAAGCTTCTGACTCTCAGAGGGTGTGGTGTTTTTGGTTCTGGCTTCCCATCTGGTAGGTTAAAACCTGGATATGATTCTAAAGCTCTTGAGAAATAGCTATGGCTTATATTCTTTAGGTACCAACATTAACATTTACTTAATAATTATAAACAAAAATGGAGGAGTAGTAAAGAAAAATGTATAAATTTTAAATAAAGAGGATGATAGTCCTAGTGATAAAAATACCTTCCTAATGGTTAATAGTGATTAAAATTGCCTTCCTAGATAAAAGAAGATTAAAAGAACCCATATGAAACAAAAATTCCTAAACTTCATAAATATGAAATTATTTTTGTAGCATATTGTCTTCTTCTGAGTCCTTAAATTGAAACTAGATTAGAAAATTTCATTAAGTATATTATTGCTATTAATAATGTCAAAGAGGCTGATTATTTTGAAACAAAATTTTTAATTTAGATTCTGAAGACTAGGAAGTTTCTTAAATATTTTTTCAGTAACTATATTTAGAATTTTAGATAATCTAATGTAATTCTTACAAGAGGCCAAATCTGAGGGCAGGTTCTAAGATATGATAATGGAACAAATTCCTTAAACTCTAATCATTAGTAAACAGTTCTATTTTAAGAATGTTAGAAAATTATTTTTGATGAGTTTGGAAGCATTAGTATTGAAAAAAATTGAGTATACACAAGTAAATGGGGGAAGTAACCAGATTTCCTCCACATGATGAAACAAGACTCGCTTAAATAAAAATATTGAAGCTAATAATTAAATTTAATTTGGCATAAGGAGATAGATTGTAATTTGAAAAGTACAGTTTATCCTTAGTACATTTTTTGGGGTATTGTAACATTAAAAAAATTCTGAGGGTCTTTTTCCTTCATTATCATTCTCCTTTCAGGACTGGGAAATTTGCTGTAACAAAATGATTTCTATGATTTTCTTTTTCTTTTTTTTGCCAGTCCTAGGGCTTGAATTCTGTCTGGGCCTGAGTACTGAACTTGAAATTCTTTTGCTCAAGGCTAGCACTCTACCATTTGACCCACAAGGCCACTTCTGGCTTTTTTTGTTTATGTGGTTCTGAGGAATTGAAGCCAGGGCTTTATGCATGCTAGGCAAGCATTCTACCTCTAAGCCAGATTCCCAGCCCCAGATAGCCATTTTCTTAAGTCAGGTTTCTGAATTTCTGATTTTGTGATAGTTTTCCAATAAGGAAGCTAGATTGCTTTGGAATATTTGTTTCAGATTTTACTGCACATTAACTAAAACGTATTTTTTAACCTAGAAAACCATTGCATGTTCTTAAATGAAAACATCCAGCTAATTTGAAATTATTTCCACCAGTCTGTTAATTTAAAATCACAAAATTCACCCTTTCACTGAATCAGAACATCGTTACTTTCACAACAGTTAAATTGATATGAATGTTGATCTATAGCCTAATACATTTTATCAGTGGTCTCACATTTTCATAATGTAAGTTTTCATGTTTATTACTACTTATTTTTAAGCACATTGTGAGGGATAATCTGAAAATAATGGAACAGATGTAGGAAACTAAAATCACATAGCTCATTTATTGATTCCCTTTCTATTAGATTATTCTCTGAACAGATAAAATGACCTAACTTATTCTTTTCTAATTATATTAATGTTAATTCCAACTATAGTGTTATCAGCACAATATTATTATACTGATTTGTTAACATCTGTTGGAATTGGTCTATTTAACACTTATTGTGAAAGCTTTTTAGAGGATTCTAGATAATAAATGATGTCATCAGTTAATTAGATATGGATATAAGAGTGTCACAGTTTTCTAACTCTGTAATTTTCTTCCTTTCAAGATGATAAAGCAGATCTAGCTATAAATCAATGGAGGGATTCAACCAAACCAGAGTACCTGAATTTGTGTTACTTGGACTTACTGATTCTCCTGAGCTTCAGATATTCTTCTTTGTTATATTTTCTCTTTTCTATTTAATGACCATGCTTGCCAACTGTCTGATTTTGCTCACAATCAAATCCACCTCCTATCTCCACTCCCCAATGTACTTCTTGCTCAGCAACCTGTCTCTCATTGACATGTGCCTGTCCTCCTTTGCCACACCAAAGATGATCATGGACTTGTTGACTCAGCGTAAAACCATCTCCTTTGAAGGCTGCATTTCTCAAATATTTTTTTTACACCTCTTCACTGGGACTGAGATTGTACTACTGATTTCCATGTCTTTTGACAGGTATATTGCCATATGTAAACCTCTCCATTATTCAACAATTATGAGTGGAAAGGTCTGTGTTGGGCTTGTGATAACTTCTTGGACAGTGGGCTTCCTACATACAGCAAGCCAGTTAGTATTTATGCTTTCTTTGCCATTTTGTGGTCCTAATGTTATAGATAGTTTCTTTTGTGACCTTCCTTTGGTTATCCAGCTGGCTTGTATAGATATGTATGTTCTTGGGATCTTCATGATCTCAACCAGTGGTGTTATTGCTCTTGTAAGTTTTCTGCTTTTGCTCACTTCCTACATTGTTGTTCTTGTCACTCTCAGGGATCACTCCTCCACAAAATCATCTAAAGTTCTCTCTACTTGTACCGCACATTTTATGGTTGTGTTTATGTTCTTTGGGCCTTGCATCTTTATTTATGTGTGGCCTTTCACAAGCTTCCTGGTGGACAAAATTCTCTCTGTTTTCTATACCATTTTTACTCCCTTTCTGAATCCTCTTATCTATACATTGAGAAACCATGAAGTAAAGACAGCAGTGAAGAAACTAAGTAACCAGTATGGCAATTATAGGACACAATATCCAGTATAATGCACAGAAATACTCTGAGATACAACTTTTGAGTTTTGTTAACAGAAGAATCTATCTATCTAAAAACATGTTTAATAAAAAGCCAGTGATGAAAATATGTAACACTTGGGTTAAAAGTACAATGCTTACAAACCTATTGAGAGATTGTAATTCTATTTGATAATCTGTTGAAATCTGAAGTTTATTTTCAAAGAAAATACATATGCTATCAAAATTGTGAACATAAATTTAGGGTTTTATAGATTCACAAATCCTACATAGAGAGGACTGTTTTCTAGCCAGGGACATTCCACTCTGCTATCAGACATATGGTGGTATCATGATAGCATCCACTTTAATTCATAGTTTTATTAGGAGTTTAGGGCATAATAGATTTTTTCATAGCTTAGAGTTTTTCCATGAGAAAATTGACATTGTAAAGAAAAAACTTTGAATGCTGTCAAATAATGCTGATTGAGAGGGTCAAATTGTTTGAGTTCAGTCAAGTTTGAACATGAGGATAGTTTGGAGGATTTAAAATTTAACAGCCCAAGTTCTTAAACCTGTAACTGTCACTTGATAGTAGACATAGTAAATAAAGTAATAATAGATTGTAAAGTTTAAAATTATAGAAGGTAAAATACTACTTAAATAGAATTGAATTTTAGAAAGATGTCAGTGGAAAATGTGTAAGTATGATTAAACACTTGCTACAAAGCTAAATGCTTTTGAGTCTTATTAAACTATTTAAATTCATGACCTATTTTTCATTTTCAAAATATTATTAGCCTCAGTATAAACGTTGCTTCTAATGTTCTTTATAATTAGTGAAAACAATATGAAATAATTTATGACATATATAGTTTACTTTTCCTCCTTTATTATGGATTATGTTACATAGATTTTTTTATTGTTGTCTTTAGAAATCAGCTAACCAATTATTTTCTTCACAGCTAAAGGACAAAAAGTTTGGGGACTCATAGAGCTAGTTTAAGGCTGAGTCACTACTAGGAACAAAGAACATTGTCCTACATCAATGTGGACCTTAGATTGAGTTGTAGATCATTTCCTAGTTGTAGTATTTTTTTTTCATATCTAAGGATTGGGGCTGGGAAGGTGGCTCAGTGGTAGAGCGCTTGCCTTGCATGCCTGAGGCTCTGGGTTCGATTCCCTAGCATCACATAAGCAAAAAGGAAAAAAAGCCGGAAGTGGCACTGTGGCTCAAGTGGTAGAGTGCTAACCTTGAGCTGCAAGCTGAGGGACAGCACCCAGGCCCAGAGTTCAGGCCCCATGACTGGACCCCAAAAAATAATAAATTCATATCCAAGGATTACAAAAAGGATTTAATGTTTCCTGTGACTATTTTATAGAAATTACACAGAATAAATTCTAAAAATGTCATTTCCTTTTCTCATTGACTTTTAGCTCAAATGCATCTGATTTCTTTCTTTCTTTCTT